TAGCGGTCGCAGCCGATCGTCATTAGGCGGGCAGTCCCACATAACCCGGGCCACTTTGTAAACTCCCTTCCCAGAGGGGGGCCCGGGTATCCATAAAGGATTTCCACACGTAAAAAAAAGCCACAGCTCCTGCAAGAGAATTTTGGCCGTGATCACGACGGGTGATGCAAAGCCAAGTGGATCGAATATCTGAGCCACTTCAGATAAGACGAGGCGTTTCGTGAGTCTGCCTTCAGTGCGTGAGCTTCGTGTTGAGAATGCAAAGGTGTCTTCTTGAGGGAGCCATTTGAGTCCGAGTATCTTGATTGCGCAATCGTCGAATGTGATTGGTAAGCCTTGGTCTTGGCTGTCGGTGACAGTCTTGAGTATGTCGATATGAGTAGCATGCCATTTTGCTAATGGGAAGCCGCCCGCCATGCAGAGGCCCTTTAGTTGATGTGCGACCTCCTGCAATTGTTGTATTGTAACTGCACCACCAAATATGTCATCGACATACCTGCCGTGAGAGATGGATGGCACAGCCAGTGGATATTTATGTCCTTCGTCCTCTGCTAATTGTAACAGCGTCCTTACGGCCAAGAATGGCGCGGCCTTTGTCCCGTAGGTGACCGTTGTCAAATAATATGGCACCTCATTGAGTTGATCGTCCATCCAGAGTATCCGCTGCAACTCCCAGTCATCCTTGTGAATTTTGATCTGCCTGTACATCTTGGTGATGTCCGTAGCGATAATGTGCCGATGTCACTGTATCCAGAGGAGAACATCTGAGATGTTCAGATGCAATTTCGCTCCAGTGTACATGAGGTCGTTGACGAGTAGCCTGATGTGGATGCGCTGGAGCCATTAATCACGACCCGCAGCTTTGTTGTTGTGCTGTCAGGCTTGAGAACAACGTGATGTGGCAGGTAGAAGTGTGAGCGACGACTGGAGATGGATGATGCCTTCGTCATGTGGTTGAGTGTCTCGTAATCCATCATGAATTGTTGATAGAGACGTTGATACTTCACATCCCTTGAGAATCGTCTGCGTAATCCCTTGAGGCACTGATGGGCGACATGGTAGGAATCACCCAGAAGATCTACTGGTGATTTGAGTGGAATCCTGACGACGTACCTCCATGATGAATCACGAGAGTGTGTAGCCTTGAAGTGCTCTTCGCACCTCTGCTCGTCAGGAGTGAATCGATTGACATCGTGAGTAGGCACCTCCTCTTGAACCCAAAATTTTGTCAATAACTCATTGAGAGCATCGTCGTTGTCTTGAGTAGAAGCATGGTGCGTTGATGTGCGTATTGCTTCTCTATTGACTGGTCCAAGAACGAGCCATCCGAAAATGGAGAGTTGCGCTATCGGCATGAGTGGAGAATGCCTAATGATATTGGGCTTGATGATTTGCCCGTAAGCGTCTGCGCCGATGAGGATGTCAACTGGCCGCGGGATGAGAAAATCTGGATCGGCTAATGCCAAGTTCCTGAGATGCGGCCATTCTTCCGGTTCCGCCTCGAAAGATGGTAAGATTAATGTAACTGTCCGGAGGACATGAGCTTGAATTGTGGCAGCTGCGTGGGAATGTGTCGAGCGTAACGTGAGCGACACGACTCCTCGTGTCCGAGTACACTCTTTGCCTGCAATTCCATTAACGACAATACCTGAGTATTGACGAGGGATGTTGAGCTGTCGAATGAGATTCTCCGTGACGAAGGTGAGTTCTGAGCCTGCGTCAATGAGTAGTCGCGCTGAGTAATGCGTTGTAGATGAGCTGATCAGTGCCAAGGCTGTGGCGAGTAATGTTGAGCAGGATGAGCGGACGTGTGAGCTGGTCTCGACGACTGCACCGTCTCTTCAGGTTGCGGGCGTGACCGACGACCACCGGATTTCTGAGCTGTCGATGCTGTCGGATGTGCGTCATGCAGCATCGTATGATGACGCCTCGAGCATGTCTTGCAGCCCCGCTGGGACTTGCATGAGCGCACACTGTGGCGCCCCAGGCAGTTAAAGCACAGGCGCTTGTTCACTGCCACCTTGTGCCGGTCTTGCGGTGATAGGTCCCTGAATTTCCCACACATGACGATGAAGTGCTGCGCGTTGCAGCAGTCGCATGGGTAGGATGAGTCGCCTTGATGAGTCGTCTGATGAGCGGCAGCCTTCTTTGGTGGTGATGATGCTGAGCTGGGGCCAGGATGAGCTGTCGTGGATTCGATCCGCTCGAGAGCCCGTATCCGAGTGGTCAGGAACTCCTCGAGCTTCTCGAAAGTTGGGTATTCGCGCGTGGCGCCAACCGCGTTTTCCCATTGCTCGCGTGTAACGCGATCAAGGAGTCGCGTGACCTGATAGACCACGGCGCAGTCCCCGAGCTTCTCCTTGATCTCGAGGGCCTCCAGTGCCTTGAAAGCTTCCCTTACCCCTTTTTTTTATTTTTTTTACGTGTGGAAATCCTTTATGGATACCCGGGCCCCCCTCTGGGAAGGGAGTTTACAAAGTGGCCCGGGTTATGTGGGACTGCCTCCATAATGGCGATCGGGTGCGGCCGCTGACGTTGCGACCGCTGGGCTTACCGCACTAAAACCACACGGTGGACTGCGCGGTGCTTTACTTGGGGGACGCCCAGGCTTGGCAGAGCCATTACTTCTGGACGCCCCCCCCCGCACCGGCCCGCCGTTTGACTGGCGGGCCTCTGCGCTCCCTCCCCCGTTGTCGTTGGGGGAGGGCCGTCTCCTCACCGCCTCGGCGGTGTTCCGCCCACTAAGA